AAACTTTTGCAGTTACTGCATGTGTTAGTGGCCAAATATCCAGTATTTAAAGTAACTACAGCAAGTTAAATAAATAATAGCCTTTACTATAAAGTTCAAATCGGAGGTACTTGTACTTTGTTTTACTCCATTATTTGTATCTGAAAACCTTTGGTTACTGTGCAACTGCACACATGATCACTCTATGACATGTGATACTTTATTATAGATTAAACCTCCCAGTAGAATTAAAGTTTAAATTACATCCACCTTCACCAGCTATTACATCAAAATGCTGCTTTAATCACTTATATTGATCAAATAATATAATATTCATTATTACATTCACAGGATTGTTGCAGACTAATTTTAGACCAATCAATTAAGCTCTACTTTAAGTACATTTAGCTGATTGTACTTCTGTACTTTTACTCAAAGTGACACTTTGAATGCAGGGCTTTTACTTATGGTTGAGTATTTTTGCATTTTGCATATCTGAGTACTTCAAAAATATATCCTCTCAGAAAGCAAACCCTCATTATTAATCAGGTTGTGTCTACTTACGTTTAAAGTAGGCTACTAACTTTCACTTAGGACCAACTTGCTCTGCAGGACCAATTTTTAAAAAACTACTTCACCTGTTTGTTATTCAAAGTATTGATGAACCCCTGATAAAGACGAGTCGGCCTTTTTATCCAAAAATACTTTTTCTAGTTTAATATACATTCTACTAAACTTATGTGTGAGCAATATAGGACTCACATTGTCAGCAGATGTAATTCTATAAAGCTTGTGGAATGCTTCATTTCAGAATGTCTTTTTCAAAATAGCCTGCCTTCCTATGACTTACATCCATTTGATTTAAAAAAAAATACAAAATTGGTATTGACGCCTGCTTCAAAAGGTTCGAACACACTATCACAAATGATATAGCTGGCAAAATGATTTAAAGGACGTGTTTATTTACCAGATTTACAAGTTTCCATAGTTTACCAACTCATGATATTCTAACATTAACCGACTTCAATAATAATGTCATCTATTGCAGGTAAAATCCATGTGACGAGAAAACAGCAGACACGAACATTTCCTCAATTCATTAGTTCATTCCTGTGCAGGTCAGCAAATGTTTGGGCTGTCCGCTCCACCCAGACCAAACTCAGCATGCAGATCAGTCCAAGCTTCAACATTTTGACACTCAGCAGAAAGGTGCAACCAGTAATCTGTTTTGTGTCTTCCATCTTAAACTGCAGCGCTTTCATTTGGAATCATCAAGACAATGAAAACCTTTTTTTAGAGTGATATAATCACAGTCATTGCATGCAGGATTATACATTTTCTCAGCGATGGCCACAGTTGAGTTGTGGCATGAGTCACTCCATCTATTTTTTTGGTTGTTGTTTTTTTTGCTGCGTCTGCAGTAATGACAGCTTCCTCATATGTGTTCTTGCATGTACAGAACAATAGCAGGAAACACCGTCAGTTGGATGCTTTTGCCTTCAAGTGTTGGCACGGAAAAGGAAGAGATACAGGAAAGGTCAGAAACACACATGAAAACAGGCTCAGTCACAAACTGTACCTGCATGCTCTACTGTGCACATGGACATACTGCATATACAGATTGGCTTCATCACAATACTGTACACATGGTGTCATGTATGTTTGAAATCTGACACAACAAAAAATACTGCAGCTATCAACTTTCAGAAATGACTTAAAGCCTGAATATGGATATTGTCTGAGGGAGTTCATGTTAAGTTTATGTAAAACTGCACATTTTTATAACACATCCAGCTTTTTTTCATGTGTTAACCTTGTGGTTTGACTGTGCTATAACTTTTTCAACACAAAACCTAAAAGAATTTAATAAGTTGCTGAATCCTCACATTCCAACATTGCTCCAGTAAAGCTCCTAATGCATACATATCAGCAGCAATGTTATGATATTTGACATGTCCTGGAGATTATATCAACTAATATTTGCAAGATATTGCCTACCAATAATTTCTAATATCAGTATCTATTCTTTATTGATTTGTTAGTTTATTTAATAGAGATAATATAAACAGATATCATAGGGAGAAGCAATGCAACAGATGTAGGGAATCTTTTTTGCAAGCCCTTCAAGCGGTTAGGCTTTTAAATTCGGGTTCAATAAATTAACAAAATGAATAAAACAGATTCAAGATCAAAGACACAGAACAAATGAAACGGATTGTTTGCATGTGTATGTACTGTACATTACTTTGTGTGCATTGACATGCCGTTGCAAGAGCTTGTGTGTATGATTGTAAGTATACACAGTATGTAGAAGTACACGTGACAAGTATTATAAAAAGAAATATTACCAGTATCAAGGTATGTTTTCCATATATGTCTGACTAAAAAAAACATGTGGAAAATGGCAGTATTATACACATATATACATGGAGCCCTAACTTGCTTTACCATAATACCGTTACACTTTCCACTATGTCATTGTATTGTCACTGTCCAATGAAGACCATTTATCTCCAAAATGCCAAATTTTCCTGCACAACAGAAAATGATCATGTTTAAAGATTCAGGCATTTTCTGGATGATTCATTTTCAGAGTGCTTGTTCTGTAACTTCCGATAAGTCCGTGTAGGAGACGTCTGGCACTGTGGGACCACTGGTGGGCTTCATTGACGCCACATACACAAATACTATATTGAGCCCACACACACACACCCATACTGCCACTGAGAACCCTCCAGATCAGTGAGTGTGTATGAAATGCTGGCTTTGTCTTCTCTCACAGTGGTCACTTTCATTCAGGGCCAGTGGGTCTGTTGTTGTCTTTCAATATTTGCTGCCAGTTGATCGTCGCTATAATGCTCTGTAGGCAGAGAATACATTGTCGCACAATCGTCCTATTGTGTTTGCTCTGAGAAACATTAGCTGTGACGACGTGTTGGAGTAGGCAGAAAATGAAAGTTATTGTACTCATTTATTGTAGTTACTGGACTTATAGTCGAGCTGATGTCAGTAAGTTAATGACTTGTGATCATGACTCAGTTTTATCATGACAGTGGGTTTGATGCCACATGACTCGCGTCAGATTTCTTACAGCTCATTGGTTTTTATGTTGACAATGGCTCCTCTGACTGTTACTCTGCTTGACTTTTAGTCGTTTAAAAAACACCAATCTATAATTTTCTGTTGCTGAATATATAATATGTTACTCTAGCTATGTCTGGTAGCTGGTAGATTTAACACATCCACTGATATATATTGGGAGGGATAAACGATTAATAGGGAATGAAATGTTTTAAAATAAAGATTAAGATTAATAGATATATTATTATCAATAAATTAGTAGCACAGCAGTTGTATTTGGCCTGGTAGTGCAGGTTGTGTTCATTGTTTGGGCTCAACAATTCTTTAAACTTCATCTTCAGAATAAAAATTTCACATTTCTTTATTAGTGTGACTCCATGTTTGGATTCAGGGAAGCTCACTGTCATAAATTCACAGAGTGGCCGGTGAAGGGCGCTTTTCCTCTTTCCTGTTCGTCAGAGAGAGACTATTGTTGTATTCTGTAGTGTTTGTGAATGGCACATGAAAAACAAGTTGAGAGTCCAGTTTGTAGAGGGCCTGGAGGATTATTCTCTGGACGAGGAACCATACTGTGAAAATACATGGTTTGTTGTAGAAAATAATCTTTTTAACCTCCCTGTGGGAAATAACCGATATGAGAAACTACTTAAAGTATTAAAATCATATTTAATGAACAGACACTTCAATAATAATTCAGCTGAATGGATAGAGCTCTTTCCCCACAGATGGTTCGGAGGTCTAACCACAATGAATAGACAAAACAGAGTATATATGC